GTACACAAGAACGCTAGCCCGTTTTCAATATTGCAAACAAGCAAACCATTTTCAATTTTGTCTTAGAATATGGCATACGGACCTTTAAGTCCAGTATTTTTTGTGATTTAACTTTTTAGATGCGTTCAGTATTTCTTTATAGTGTTTTCCGTCACCTGAAATCACAATAACGTTGTGTGAATGTTCACATGTATCATATGTATTTCCATACTGGTTTGTTGTTATGCAATTGGGACACTTCATTATGTTATTTGTAAAAGACCATTTTTGTTTTCGGTTTTTGTAACAACAACTTACTGTGGTTTTCATTGTGTCAGCATAGTAAAGTTTATCTTCATTGACAGAGATATGGTTAACATCTTCCACGTTCACTTGAACTGGTGATATACGCACACGATCATCTAACACATCAACACAAAATATTGCAGTTCTATCAACTGTGTATACGTTTCTGACATCATATGACAACCCATAACAAGTCTGCTTGAAAGTGATCTTCTTTTCAGTTTGCAGTGTCTGAATGTTAAAAATATCAACATTTTTGCTATCTCTATACGAGAACGCAAGTCTTTCCGAGTCAACGATTGCCATATATGTAAGTTTGTCTTTTAAATGCTGATATCTGACAAACTCTCCGTCTCAGGTGTATATGCCTAAACTTTTACTATCGTCCCAATTAAAGATTAACTGTTTTAGTGGCAGCAAAACGGCGCTCCAAATTTTCATTCTTTTGGATTCTGGCTTCGAAATATTGATCTTTACTTTATTCTATATTTCTATATCTTCTATTGATCTTAAAACCGTCACAGAAACATGAGACTGCAACTTCTGAAGTTTTGTTGGTTGAAATAGTATATGTTTTCGATCACTTTGTATATGACCAAGCAATGTAACTCCCGATAGAAAAAAATGGACCGGGGCTGCTATCTGTAGTTCCTTCAGAACAGTTATGGGCTAATCTGTAACAGATTTTACATCTTCAATAGAATCACCTAGTTCTTTGGAAATTTTACGGATGCCCAAAAATATTTGAGTATCTGAGGCATAACCTTCAATAATATTAGATCTGTCTCTCAACTCTTAAATTTTTTGCAGTTTATCCTGGAGTTGGATTGTCCGGTTGCCTACGTTGCTAGATATGTCATGGTGCTGTACATCAATCGTTTTATAAAGCTCTGCTTCAAAGTCTTTCACTTTCTGTATTATACTCTGAGCAACTTTTGATGCTTCATCTTTTAAACACTTACATACATTCTGATTGGATAGTTGCTCCTTTTTATGACTATCAATCAGCTCCTGAACATTTCTAACCATGTCCTCGAGATCTTGTTTGATTGTCTCTTTTGCTACAGATGTGGTCACCTCGTCTGCTGCAACTGAAATTGGTAACCACCCTGTACATTGAATATGTTTGGTCTGGATACATTTAATACAAACTACCTCGTCATGTAATGGGCATAAATATTCCGAGATTTTGTTATGCAGCTTGCATCTTTGATCTTCCGGTAAATACATCATAATTTCTTGCAGAGCATTATGGTCACCTATTGAATTTACGTTGTGATTTCTAGATACCTTCAAACTTTTATGCGCTTCAAAGCATGTCGAACACAAAGCCTCTGCACAATCTGCACACCATTTTACAGCCGCTTTTATTTCATGTTTGTAGTCACATGGACCGCAATTTAATGCTTTCTTAGTTGCCATCCTGTCGGTAAATATTGTTCAAAGTATATACAACCTCTGAAACAGAAAAAGTCACAGTTAATTAACAAGTTAGCAGAGAGTAAAACCTATTCATCCAAAAATTAGTGTCAAAAATATAAGATAAAATGTGGAATTATTGCCAATTAGACAACTATCCATCACATAATGGATTTTAGCAACAATAGGTTACCGTACGTAATTCAACAACGAGCAAAATCCATATCGTATAGTCAGCTGTAAAAGCCTCAGACATGATAAAATGTTAAACAATTCAAACGAGAATTCAAACGGCTTCAATAACGATTAAACGAAAAAGGAAAAACAAATATGACAGACGGCAACCGACGACAACCACTAAATTGCAGGCTCCTATCTTGAGACAGGCACATTAGGAATGCAGAAGGTTATATTTTGGCGAGGACTTATCTATCTCCCCTTAATTTGAAAATGGTATAACAACACAACATATGAACAAACCGTAAAAATCAATTGGAAAGTGTGTAAATCAACAGATAGGCATGCAGCACAAGAATGAGATCAACTGACAAAAGGACTAAAGACATGAAGACAAAAAGTACTAATAAATAAATCATGGTTGATCAAAGACAATGCCTAAGTTTAGGTATCAACAGGATGTAGGACCATATGTGTTAATAGTTGTATTGTTATACATATTTAAATATATTTGTAATTTATCAAGAAAACCACCAATGTTGGTACTGATAAATATAGTTCAATTGACAACCTTATAGGATTACTAATTGTACATCGATCGTATATAAATTTTACGGACTCTATAAACAATATCACCGTAAAATGTTAGATGCGATATCCCGTGTACAATAAGGCTTCTACATGTAAATCGTCAATACAAATGTTGTATCATTGAAAAGTAAGCAAAGGTTATACATGCTATAAGCAATTTACCAGTTATTGACAGATTACGGTCGTTGAAATCGTAAACTTCGTTATAGACACTGGGATAGCGAAGTAGTTGGAAAATAAACATACCGTGAAAAGGATCTAAAGGAGCATCAGCGTAAAAATCAGAAAAATAAATATAAGGAACTAAAAATCGACATTTAAGCATCAATGTTTGTATGCTCTTCAACTTTGTACTTGTTTGGCTTTATAACTATTTTGATCTGAGCGTCACTGATGAGTCTTATGTAGACGAAACGCGCGTCTGGCGTATTACATTATAATCCTGGTACCTTTGATAACTATTTGTATATAGTTTACCGTGTGAAACTGAAATATAATCACTGAAAAAGGAGATAAGTGTTGTTTATGTTGGATTTTTCTAACGTCTGTTCACTTTGATGCATACTATGTATGTGCAGTATTATTAGAGAATGTTTTACTATTACAAGCAAAATTACCATCATAGTAACGAATGGAATGGATCATGAAAAGAATGTAATTTATCTAAAATATTCAGAGTTCTTTGCACACTAAAAATACAAAAAATATTTAATTCCATTAATATCATATGCTTTATTTCAAAAGTAGTTTAATAAGAGTAAGGGGAAAGTTTAAAGTAAGAACGATTTGTTTAAGAACACTTACAAGAAGCTGAAATGAATCAATATTTGATGGTTTAATTTGTCGTGTAGCTAAGGTAGCTAATACATAGTGGGACCTAAATATATTTAGAGGAGACCTTAATCTGATATGTGGTGATGATATGCTTTTCTACGTTTTTACTCTCTGTTGAGCGCATACCTTGAATGTAAAAGAATTCATAATGTCATTCTTTGTCGACTTGGAGTTTTAAAAGTTATAGACCACAAATAAAATATCGTTCATTATTTCTTCTTTTTCTAAAATCATTAATAAATTTAAGTACACTATGGTGAAGATATCATTAACTCAATAGGTAGCAATTTGTAATTGGTCTTACATTTCTTAGCATTTGGAACTATTCTGATTCAAATATAAATCAAATATTCAAATAATTAAGATCACAGGGACCTGTTGAGAGAGATTCTTTTTAACTATCAATAAAGCTTCTTAACACAAAATGTTGGAGGTCACACCAAATTGAAAGATCTAAATTGTCTAATGAATAGATTAAGGCGACAGTAGTTTCCGCATGCGAGTTCACACTCAGTCAAAATGTCACAATCAGGAATAGGACAAAATCAGTAGTATCAATGACCGCGAAAACATGTCGCTAATGAGTTGCGACACCGACACATTGTAACTGTCAACCAATTCGTGATGGTGACCGGGAAATTATGCAGTGTCGATTTCGATGAATTTAGTGTGAGAACTAAATCTCTGTGAATAAAGTCCGTAAAGTGTGAAAATGCACGAGCGTAACTTATTAATCAAGATATGTAAACGCCAAACGATGAAGCAAAGGGTATGATACTGCTGAGAAATGGAGAGTTGACGATATGAAACAAGTAAAATAACAGATCAGTAGTCAAATGTTTAAAGACATTACATTTTTCTTTATGACCTGGAGATGTGGAGTCAGGCGACCTCCACCCAACGTTTACCCATTACAATCAAAGGAAAAAAAAACATTTGGCAGGAAAGACATTAAAATTTTTTTTTTCGCTTCGCTCCTCTTGGCTTAATTGTTAACATAAAATTCCTAAGTTTCTACATGTTTTTTCCAGGAAAGTATTTTTATCTTTAATTTACCAACTTCTTTAATAAAAGATAGGAACAATATGCTGAAGTTGAACGAAAGTGCGATTAGTGTCAATGAGACCATAACAGGCATATGTAATTAAGTTCCTTGAAGTCACAAACAACTTCCGCACTTGAATATGTTGAACCTTAATTTATTTCCACTACTGATACACTATTTTATTGAATAATAATAATAATATAAAATAGTTTTTTTTGTTGTAAATAATAAAGATATTGAAAAATGTGCGAGGAGGGGGGAGGGGTTGAAATGTTCATGCCTTTGGAAGGAGGTCTTGATTTTATTTTCTTTTTTCAAGGATGGGACCTGATAAAAAAAGAGAAATTCAGATGTTTCCTCCCATCTCCCAATGAACGAAAATGACCAGTCCGTACAAACAGTTAAAAAAACTATATAATTACAAAATAAATACTGGTAAGAAAAAAGCAAACGAGAAACTGGATATACCGTCCTAATGTCATATGTGTAATATGACTACTGTAGTCCTTGAAACATGACAATTTCTGGCTAGAATTAAGCAAGTAAAATGTGTGCACCTTATACATTGTTATATCTAAGTTAGAAGTGTGTACTGTACACAGTTATAAAACGACTGAAGAGAATACATTTGCTTTTGTCTCATAGTTACACAATACATATATTGTTAGTTTGATGTCCATTAATAATGTTTCTCTTTTTCTCTTATGTCAGGAATGTCCTTTGAGGTGGCACGGTAGTATGTCCTGGCCCATAGGGATAATGATAGCCTTTTAAGAAATTTCACCACTTTATAACACTGCCCAAAATTCTACATACACAGTTAACTGTAATACTTTCATTATAATATTCAGAAATGAATTTGAGTATGTATCATGACCGTTTACTTTTTTTGCTATCTTTAAAAAACCTAAGGCTACTACTGCTTTTATGTCTTTTATCATGCAGTGAATAAAAAATTAAAAAAAATTCTCAAAATTCATTTTCACCTGTATGTACAATTATTTCATCTTTTTCTACACCTGATTCATCCCTCAGTTTGGGAAAGTATGTTCAGTTGATACTGTATTTTTTGTCCAATCATAATGTTCAGATACATTGACCGAAGTAGGGTATACAAAAGAGCAACCTAAATTCCAGAATGCAAATACTACCGTGCCACCTAAACAAAGACATCACAAACTTGAAACCAGTCATGACACCTATGATGCACAGACTTCTTACTAGGAAACATATTACAATAAAGAATACTAGTCTGCACCTATTTCTTACAAAAAAAAAAAAAATAAAAATTATACCCCTACCCCAGCTAGCAGTTTTTTACTTTTTTTTCATCTTACCATTTTTACTTAAGGAGTGAACAAAACACAAATATATGATGTTTCAAATCAACACAGAAGTAAAACATGGTGATTCAGTAGGAATAATTGGATTGCCAACTCTATTTCTAGTTAATCTGACAGAAAGAAACAGTTTAAGAACCAAATCATGAAAAAATTATAGTAAAGTCCATTCCACATTTTACAGCATGCCTTACATTCCTTTAAGCATTTCCAGATTATGAAGGCAACATAACAAGATTCTTTAGATGGCAGTTAACTATTATTCTAAAATCTTTTTGACAATACATGCACTAAAATATATCTCTAAGTTGACTGTTTGTCTATTTCTCATGTATGCATTAAGTTTAATTATGTCCCCTTACATAATCAATTTACCTTTATTGTGCTTTTCAGGGTCAGAAAATCAAAACAATTCATGACATTTGCATGGAAAATGAATTAACTATTTAATCTTGCTGATATACAATCATAATCATATTCTTTGTCCAAAAAAATTGTCTTGTCAATGTAAAGAAACCCCTAATGCTATCTCTATTTCAGCTAAATATGAGGGCTAAATGAATGAGTAAGGACCCCTTAACCACTTACTGGTTCCAAAAAAGCTCATACTGATGTCATATTACAACAAAACTGCAAATTAAACCTGAAGAAAACTAGTATGGTTGTACTTGTGTGGAAAAAATAAGAAATTATGCGCTTTATTTATTTCGGTGAAAATTATAGGATGTACAGGCAACTAAAATATGTCGCGTCTCAAATTCCAGTTGTTGCAAATGTGTCAGACACTGCGAAAAGTTAAAGCGAGCATTTATAATTTAAAATGTATTGCAAGTTACATAAAAATTATGAAGTACTACTTTCTAGGTAAATTTTTAAATTATTACCCACAGATCAGGCAAAATTTGCTGAATCAGCAATTTTCACTCCGAGGGGTGGAATTTAAGGTCTGTTTTTATTCTAGTTGCCCTTAATCAACTTTTTATTGATAAACTTACAAATTGAATAGGTAAACAAAATACCTTTATTGATTTAGTGTAAACATATATATCCCAGTTAAGGTGGCACGGTAGTATTTCCTGGCCCATAAGGATAATGATAGCCTTTTTAGAATTTTCACCACTTTCTAAATAAAGGCAACAGTAGTATACCGCTGTTCGAAACTCATAAATCGATAGAGATAAAAACAAATCCGGGTTACAAACTAAAACTGAGGGAAACGCATCAAATATTAGAGGAGAACAACGAAAAACAAAAACACAACATTAAAGTGTAACACACACAGAAACGAACTAACACTAACCAAAACTCTACACAGTTAACTGAAGTACTTTCATTATAATATTCAGAAATGAATTTGAATATGTATCATGACGGTTTACTTTTTTTGCTATCTTTAAAAGCCTAAGGCCACTAGTGCTTTTATGTCTTTTTGTCATGCAGTGAATACAAAATTAAAAAAAATTCTCAAAAATTAATTTTCACCTGTATGTAAAATTATTTCATATTTTTCTACACCTGATTCATCCCTCAGTTGATACTGTATTTTTTGTCCAATCACACTATTCAGATACATTCACTCAAGTAGAGTACACAAAAGAGCAACCTTAATTCCAGAATGCAAATACTACCGTGCCACCTTGACGCAGTATTTGATTAGTTTGGATTATGTCCCTTCAAATGTAAAATACTAAGGTACGCAAATATTGCCAATATTACAAATAGTGTTTTATCACAACATTGCACAATAATTAAGTAATTAATGTCTGCTCGTATTCGGTAACATATTAAATAAAAGTTAGTTTTATTGAACTTTGTATTATTCAATAATGTAAACTATTATATAAGATTTATTCTTTGTGCAATTGTTATTGTTAATTTTGATTTTCTGAATACATAAATTTGGCGCCCAAATTAGTTTTTTTCAACGTTTCACATAACAAGTTTATTTTTTTTCGTCATAATTAGCCAGTGCCAACAAATTATTGAGAAAAACGAGATGAGTAAAATACTTTAAGTAATCATAATATCTCATCATAAATTTCGTTTATGTAATTATCAATCATGTCAATGGCGAAGTAACATACTTTTGGAAAAATGATAACAAAGTATTTGAATCGGATATATAAGTAGATGCGGATATAAGTATGCAAGACATTTGTCGTAAAACTGGAATAATAAATAAGGGCAATTTTGTAAAATACACCCTTAGAGTATTTAAAGCTTCATAGTGACTTTTAGAGAGAAAGAAACTGCTAAAAGGGGAACCTATTTCTCTTCTTTATTTTACTAAAGCAATACATTAACGGTTACTCTATGCAATGTATATCTCTTCAGTCTGTAACACACTTTGATTCGAATCTTTTTCATCTTCATAACTCGAAAAACATTTAATGAAATATAGTGTATATCTTTGAAAATTAAAATTTTTAGTTACCAATTCAAGCATATATTTATTTTCGTTTTTGCTACTCATTTTCGTATTTCTTATATGGTTGATACAATATTTAGTATATTCTGGGTTCATTACTTTGTACAGATTTGTTACTAGTCTGTTACAACATATACACACACTTTATCATATACTTGGAGTAAATAACTCATAATTTTTACAGTATGGTAATGACATTTAATTTACGCGAATTCCATATTTTCCGAAATGGTGCTTAGCGGGCTGATATGAAAAATGTATTAAGTGCTTCCGGTTATTACAATGTATCGTATGCATTTCCGCAACGTTATCGCATGGCATTTCGACGTCACTCGGCAAATTCTGGAAAGTACACCTCCATGGTACGTTTTCAATGAAAAACGTAACAAAGTACTAGAATAGTAGCTTTTCGGCTCTTGGGCTTATATCATGACCTAGGGCCGATAAAGGGTCTGATATGAAAAATGCCATGTAATAATCTAAACGTATCAAATACAAACATTGTTGAAAAATATATTTCACTATAGGACCGTCGAGGCACGCGGTAACGTTCAAATTTTTAGTTCATGTGTTAGCTTCAATATTACGAGCAAATTTGAGAAACATTTTCATTTATTTCAAAAGTATTTTAAGTTCGAAAAAAAAAATATCATAAATGTTTCCGTCGGCTATTTTTTCTGTTGGTTTTTTACTGACTGACTGGTGTACTGAAACGGGTATTATGTCTAAACAATATTGTATCTATGTTTTTAATATGGGTTACTATCAGATCTGTGAGATCATCGTTTCTTATTTTTTTTTTAAATGTTTTACACCTTATAATAATTCATACATGTATATTTGAAACATAAACAAAAGTATAAGATGTGATTGAGATAAATTGCATAAAACAATATAGACGTTGGTTAAACACCAAGCAATATTGATAAAATAAAAAGTGTTACCAATTTTTTAGCTCGCACTCCATATATCAGGAATGTGAAATAACAAATGATCTTATCTCAAACAATAATTTTTACGTGCTGACAAGATATGAATAAAAATAACTCAGAAAACCAAAGATATACATAAAAACATGTACAAAGAGGAAAAATGATAAAAAAAATAATTCGCATAGATGCAAACATTTCAAATACAAAGTTACAATATCTTCTACATTAAAAGATAATTGCCATTTAGACCAACTATCCAACAGAGTCCAAATGCCATGAATTTAGACAGCAGTCATGGGTCACCGTACGGCCTACAAAAATGAGTAAAATCCATACCATATAGTTATCTACTAAAGGCCCCGATAAAGCAATTCAAACTACAAAAACTCATATATATATAGCGGGAAATTGGACGAGGCAAATTTACTCAACGTGTGGTTTGTTTAAATTAATAAGACGTGTCTGAATCGGTGTAAATACCTGTAGAATTCAGGAAATACATAAAATCTATGCACTGACGTTTCATTATCTATAAATGTGGAACATGTTTGATTGTACACTTACACATGTTACATGTACACAAAAACTAAAACAACATTTGAACACAAGTAAGACATCCTAACATGAGCAAGACAACGTGTGCCACATGTGGAGCAGGATTTGCTTACCCTACAGGAGCACCTGAGATCACCCCCGGTTTTTTGGTTAACCAGTCTTTAGTTTTCTATGTTCTGCTTGGCATACAGTCTTTTGGTCTGTTTCGTTTTTGCCATGGCGTTGTCAGTTTATTTTCGACTTATGAGTTTGAATGTCTCTTTTATTAGGTCCGGGTACACAGTTATCGTCCTTTGATTTTCATTGTCCACGAATATAGTCCCTAGTGTGGACAGTGTGTTACTTGTCGATTTTTTTTTATACCCCTTCCAAATTTATTTCTCCATGTTTTATGACTAAAATAGTAAATAGGGGGGTGAAATGACACTGTAAAAAAATTTGGGTCATGAATTTTAAAGTAA